CTCCCAAAAAACGCTGCCTTTTATTGGTGATTTCAGGGCCACTGATAAAGCATCCCTGTGGACTCTTCACAATACTGAGCGCTGTCACTGTTGGAAGTGACGTCCTTACCCAAAAATTTTTAGTGCTAAAAAATTCCTCTAAGGGTATCAATTGCTGGCGGCAGTTGCAGGCGATAGGTGCAAAGATTTCATTTTAGGTTTTTTTGGTTTTGGGGTTTTGAAGCATCTTGTAGGGTTTTCACTCAGAAAAGCCTTAATATCTTAGTGACACAAAATTGATGAGCAGACTTAGTTTATCTAGATCTTCTTTAGGAAGGGCTCCCAAGAAAAATTTTTGAAAATTTTAAACCGTGCTTCCATTCCTGAGGCCGGAAAAGCTGGGGGCACATCTAGCCTCTCGGTTTTTAGTAAACGCTCCCTGTTGTGATGTAGCTAGCGCAGGATCACCCCAGGTTTGCCGGATTCTATGTTCAATAAAGGGAAGAAACCAAGGGCCTTACTCTGGTTTTTTGAACATAGAATTTCAAGTCTTCTGCAACAACAAAATATAAAGACTTTGTACATTAATAAGGGTTCTACAGGGGTGAAGTCTTGCTTTTGTCAAAAGAAAAGTTTAAACTACAGGCACATATTTAAACTCACCATGTAATCTGCATCGCTGATAAATGGATAAAGTAGGAGAGAATCACACACCATGTGTTGGTGCCCATGACACACACCAAACTGTTGTTGTTGTTAAGGGCCCCTAGAGGTGGTGCAGTATTATCCTGCTGCTGCTCCCCACAGGACCAGTATCACTACACACGTACATACACCTTGTACACAAAAACTCCTTTACCCTCCTCCCTCCAACCTTTCCTCCACTACAGATTTATGCACCCTCCAAATCATCCTATTTTGCTCCATCCTTTCTGATCGTCTAAACCGCCTCAACAATTCCTCCCTTTTAGTAACCCTGCACCTCTTTCTAATCTCCAAAGTATGAATTATCTGCATAATATTCACACCCCCACATTTCCCAGACATGACATCTCCATTGCCTCCATCCTCTTTGCTGCAAAGTTCAAAATCCATGCTTCGCAGATATGGAAAATTTTTTAGGGTGCTTACCTGTATGTACCTCAACATTATATACATACCAGTAATCTCATTGGGAGACAACCATATTGTTTACCGTAGTCACCCCGTGTAGACATGTGAGAAAACTTAACCACCTCTGGTCACTACAGGTGGCCCCTTCGACCTCACAATCTTATCCATATCTATCCGAGACCAGTATGGATTGGATAGCACCCACAAGTACGGTGCTACTAATTAATTGTGGACTGTATATATTATATTAGTTTAGCTGAATAAGGGGGGGGGGTAGGATACACATGGTCTGGTGGCTAAAGCTCCCGCTTCACACACGGAGGGCCCGGGTTCGATTCCCGGCGGGTGGAAACATTTGACACGTTTCCTTACACCTGTTGTCCTGTTCACCTAGCAGCAAATAGGTACCTGGGTGTTAGTCGACTGGTGTGGGTCGCATCCTGGGGGACAAGATTAAGGACCCCAATGGAAATAAGTTAGACAGTCCTCGATGACGCACTGACTTTCTTGGGTTATCCTGGGTGGCTAACCCTCCGGGGTTAAAAATCCGAACGAAATCTTATCTTATCAAGGAAAAACATTTGTACATAATTCCACCACTTACCAGCTGTTCTCTGGTGGTCACTTGATGTAGCTGGATCACTCATAACCTATCCAATTACAACATAACATAACTGGCCAGCATGAGTTTGTTATAACTAGAAGGGTTACTTAACTGTGGGTGATTGATACTCCTTATTTCCTCCATTCACCATCTCATTTCGATGTCCTGCTACACCGACACGGTTCTCATTCCGGCAGGACGAGGTATCCGTCGGTTTGTCCCGGTTTAGGAGTCGTGATTACATAAATTTTCATTATTTCCCCGGTACGAGAGTCACACGTTCACTCGGAGCAGGGCGCTCTTTTTCACATCCGCATTCTCTTAACTCAATGTTATTATCACTGATTACATTACCATTCACAAGACGATTTAACGTCTCATAACTATTATACAAATTAGAGGTCACTCCATTAAGATCTGAGGCCGATGAGCGAGGATTAACACACGGGTATTTCCCCTGGACACACACCATGGCCATGCACCTGCCACCCGGTCGAACATTATTCACTAATTTTACCACCCCTTTACGGTGGTCCCGTAAATCACGTTCCCTCACTCTTCACTAGGGACAGTCACGACACTTCCTATTATGAATTGAGGCCTATATTGATCCTTAGGCCCCCGTGAACGCCAGTTTCCTCATTCCCGGTTTTCTCAGCCTCCTCACCCATTCAAAACACTCCCGCCACCCTCATGGCCCGAGTCGCCCCAAACCCCCCTGCACATCCGCGCATGCGCAAAGGGAACTCTTGGTTCTACTCTATTTTCAAATACATTTTTGACTCATATCGACACATTAAACACCTATTAGGCGCTATAGCTTCGGAAAATCAAAAATTTTCCACAACACCCATATAAGAGTGGTTTCCCAAGTATCCCAAAAATCCCAAACCCCTCTAAAGGAAGGGTTTGGGATATTGACGCTAGTGGATTTAGTGATTTGTTTTGATAATAATAATAATAATTGGGATATTTGCTTTTTAGAGGGACATCTAAATTGTTGTAAGTGCACCTGTGGCAAGACAGTGATAGTGTAAAAGATGGTGAAAGTGTTTCTTTTTTAGGTCACCCTGCCTCAGTAGGAGGTGGCAGTCAACATGGTAAAAAAAAAAATCTATCCTGAGACTTTGTTCACTTCAGTGACACAGGGTACAAGAAAAACCCAAAAAGAAAGAAAAAAACTTTCACCATCATTCAACACTTTCACCATCACTCATACATAATCACTGTTTTTTACAGAGGCACTCAGATGCGACAGTTTAGACATCACTCCAGACTGCCAATATCCTAAACCCCTCCTTTAAAGAGCAGGCATTGTACTTCCCATTTCCAGGACTCAAGTTCGGCTAACTGGTTTCCCTGAATCCCTTCACAATATATTACCCTGCTCGCACTCCAACAGCTTGTCAGGTCCTAAAAACCATTCGTCTCCATTCACTCCTATCTAACACACTCACACATGCTTGCTGGAAGTCCAAGCCCCTCGCCCACAGAACCTCCTTTACCCCCTCCCTCCAACCTTTTCAGGGAAAACCCCAATCCCTCCTTCCTTCTCCAACAGATTTATGTGCTCTCCAAGTCATTCTACTTCGTTCTGTTGTCTCTAAATGACCAAACCACCTCAACAACCCCTTTTCAGCCCTCTGACTAATACTTTTAGTAACTCTACACCTCCTCCTAATTTCCACACTACGAATTCTCTGCATAATATTTACACCACACATTGCCCTTAGACACGACATCTCCACTGCCTCCAGCTGCCTCCTCGCTGCAGCATTTACAACCCATGCTTCACGCCAATATAAGTGTTGGTACCACTATAGATGTATATATATACAATATACATATAGGCCGAGGCACATGTGAGGCAAAGCATGTTTAGGTCAGGTTAAGCTTTATGGAACTGAGGTCACCTGACAGCCATGTTGCAATGTAGGTGTGGTCAATAATCATGTGAGACAATGTTGTTAAGATGTAATTACCTGCTTTCTTTTCAACAATGTTTGAAATGGAGATAGTAAGTTTATTCAGGTGTACACAAATACAGTTACATAGATTATCATGCATAGCAGCATATGTGTAGAGAACCTAGGGTAACCCAAAAAAGTTAGACAGAGTGACTTATTTCCATTGGGGTCTTTTAAGGGAGTGTCCTAAGCAGTGACTTGTTTTTTAATTCCTGTTTGGTAAGGATAACTTGGGTGTTTCTCCATTTCATAGATCTAAACTTACTCCCTGTTCAGTACATCCACACTTACTACTGTGCAATCTACATCTACAGGACCTTAAACTCCAATATCAACCTTGACCTAAAACGCTTTCTTGATAGTTGTGACAGAACCCACAGGCATAACACCAGGCACAAACATCTCTACGACATTCCCCATCTCCGACTAAACCTTTACAAAAATTCAATGTATGTCAAAGGCCCTAAAATCTGGAACACCCTACCTCTGAACTCTAGAACTGCAGACACATTCATCACCTTCAAAACTACCATTAGAAAACATCTTATCTCCCTGATAAACCCCATCAACTAACTACACGAATACCACCTGGTGGTTCACACTTACACTCACTCACCCATTTGACCATAAACAGAAATATTAATCTCAATCTTAAAATAATGAATCCTATGATACTCCAATACTGAAACTATGTACTGTGCCAAAACAAAAGCATTCACATTGCTAAACTCACAAACTAGTATTTAGTCACTTAGCCATAATACCAACTTACCTCATAATTTGTAATACTGTATTTTAAAATAAAGAATTAAATTAAGTCTGCCCAAAATGCCTAGCCATGCTAGGCGTTCTAGTGGTACACTCTGTAATCATTATTTAACTACATGTAAACCACACAACAACCAAATTCTGTAAATTCAACATTGTAATCTTTATAGAGAATAAACTTTGAATTTGAATTTGAATTGAATTATCACATTATTCACATGGGATAGTGTAGCCTCCACCTTAAGAATTTCTATAATCTCTTGTAATTGACCTAATATGTAATACACTGTAATAATATAATGAAGATAGGCACTATACCCGAAGAGGACTTATTGTGTAAAATTTGGTTCTCTATCGGACCTCTACATAATTATTACTTTGTTATGGCTGACCCCCTAAATAGGTTACATATTTTTACTAACCTGAACAAATTTCTGTGAACACCCATGCTGTATTGCATGTGTTATTTGATTAATTTATCATTTATATTAATAAAACTTATTTGAGGTATAGTACAAAGTTATACATTTATCACTAAATAAAAGGGGTCATCTTTTTTTTATTTACAGGAAGCAACAAAACCAGAGGTTCGTGCTGTATACCCCTGGATTATATTGTTTGGTCACCGCCCTATGTATTGCTCTAACAATGACCACGATGACTGTACCAAAGTGAACTGTCTCACCCGTGTTGGCCTGCCTTTAATGCACACGTATGTTTCCCTTTGTTATTATAATCATAACTAAGTGCTAAACCCACAAGGGTCACACAGTGCTGTGCCATTTATATATACTAATTGTATGTACAGCCTCTCCTCACTTAATGATGGAGTTCTGTTCCTAAGACAACGTCGGTAAACGAATTCATTAATAAGCCTAACCTAACCTAAGTGAGGAGAGGCTGTACTTTTGTTGCCATCATCCACATGTATGTAGCAATTTGTACCAGCAACAGGAATGACAAGAAAAAAGTGGAGTCAGAAGGATACTAAGAAAATTTTTGTTCACAGAGCGTTAGATTGACGGAATAAATCATAAGATATAGTAAATACAACAACCGTAGGAAATTTTTAAAAATTACCATACATGATGATGAGACACCATGAGCATAGGTCTGCTCTTGTAGCTACAAATAGGTAATTGCACAAATGTTTCATTTTATGTACACCTATGTTGCCTTTGTATATACAGTGGTACCTTGACTTACGAGTTTAATTCGTCCTGTGACCGAGCTAGTAACTCAATTTGCTCGTTCATATATCAAATTAGTTTTCCTCATTGAAATTAATTGAAATGCCATTAATCCGTTCTAGCCCCCAGAAAACCACCCCAGTTTTTTTGTTACGGGTTTTTAAATAAGAAAAATGTATTTATAAATAAGAAATATTGTATACTCCACCCACCATATTCACTACTCCACCCACCAGTATCACTACTCCATCCACCACTCTCACTACTCCACCCACCATTTTCAGTACTCCACCCACCATTTTCAGTACTCCACCCACCACCATGACTACTCCACCCACCACTATCATTACTCCACTCACCACCATGATTACTCCACCCACCACTATCAGTACTCCACCCACCATCACTACTCCACCCACCACTATCACTACTCCACCGACCACTATCACTACTCCACCCACCACTATCAATACTCCACCCACCACCATCGCTACTATACCCACACTATCAGTACTCCACCCACCACCATCACTACTCCACCCACCACTATCACTACTCCACCCACCACGATCACTACTCCACTGACCACCATGACTACTCCACCCACCACTATCACTACACCCACCACCATCACTACTCCACTGACCACTATGACAACTCCACCCACCACTATCAGTACTCCACCCACCTTAGTTCATGTTTCTAGAAAAACTCTGAGTGTCAAAATGGAGGTTACCTCTTCCCCGGATTTATACGAGAACCAAACAAGGGACGAGGTGCCTCACTACAATCTGGGATTAATGTGGGAGTATTACCCTTCCAGTTATGTCTTCGAAGAGCATGAGGAATAGGGCAAAGTACCTGACATTCCTCTGGGTACAGAGTTGGATTTGACTTTAGATATACGTACCGCCAATTAGTGGCGGCGTATCTCAGGCTCACTCGTAACTTGGATTTTGGCTTGCAACTCAAAGCAAAAAATTTACTGAGCAAGGGCTCATAACTCGGAAAACTTGTATGTTGGGGCACTCATAAGTCAAGGTACCACTGTACATATATCACTGTGACTAGCCGAGGATTCGAACCCATGTCATTTTGGCCTGCTTCATGGTGAGCAAAAATCACATGACACTCTAACCCACAGGACCATGCAATCCTACAAGAATCAACCACCCAGCAGAGCTAGGTGTTTTACCTTGATCTGAGGACATACAGTGGTGTGGGTGCCTCTGAGCTAATTTCATTCTATGCCCCGTTTGGTATACGTACTAGCCTTCATGAGCAGTCAACTTAGAAGCCCGAGGCACCATCCGAGCATGGCACAACCTACTCCTGTTCGGCAATGTCTGTCTTGCAGTTCCTGAGAGACAAGGCAAACTGCTAACCACGTCAGTTATCAAGGCAGTGCGCAACTACCCAAGAACGGATAATTGTGTCCCTCTGCCCCATCATCGCAGGAATCACAGAGGTAGACCCAAGAAAAGTCCCACTGAAAATGAGAAAATCTGCGCACAGGTTAGCAAAAAAATTGAAGAAGGCAACACAGTGGGAGCAATCCGAATAATTACAAGTGACAACACTGTAGCCCCCAAAGATGAGACCACAGCCCAAGCACTAAGAGACAAGCATCCAACCAGGGACACCATAGCCATCAACAACAACCCTGAGGAAGACCTCATCACTGAACAATTAATTTTGCCAGAATCGGAAGTCTATAAAGTGATTGTGTCATTTCCAGCAGGATCTGCAGGAGGTTACACTGGAATTCGACCTCAGCACCTCAAAGAGATGGTAAATCCAGTACTCGGTGCATCTGCATCAATTCTTCTCACCGAGTTAACAACTTTCGTCAACAACTGCCTGGCTGGGCGAATCCCAGAAGAAATTAAACGTTTTTTTTTTGGAGCCTCACTATGTGCGTTGAAGAAGAAGGATGGGGAAATCAGACCCATTGCGGTTGGAAACACTCTTCGCTGTCTCATTGCCAAAGCAGCAGTAAGAAACATTTGCCTAGAAGCTGCCAGTTTACTCCAGCCACACCAACTGGGCTTTGGGGTCTCTCAAGGCAGTGAAGCTGCAGCTCATGCGGCAAGGGCCTACATCAGGGACCTACCAGAAGACAAGGCCGTAGTCAAACTTGATTTTAGAAATGCCTTTAATATGGTGAAGAGAGATGCTGTCTTGCCAGCTGTTCGGGATCGGTTCCCCAGTCATTTTCCCTTCATTTCAGCCGGCTACAGCAAACCCTCAATTCTTCTGTTTGGAGAACATGAAATTCTCTCATCAAAAGGTGTCCAGCAGGGTGACCCACTAGCTCCGCTTCTCTTCTGCTTGGTTTCTCAGAACCGAACTCGGTCATAAGTCGGATGGTAGGTGTATATATATCTCCATGGGGAAGTGGAACAGAATTCTTCCTCCCTAAGCCATGCGTGTTGTAAGAGGCGATTAAAATGCTGGGAGCAAAGGGCTAGTAACCTCTTCTCCTGTATATTTTACTAAATGTAAAAGGAGAAACTTTCGTTTTTCCTTTTGGGCCACCCCGCCTTGGTGGGATACGGCCGGTGTGTTGAAAGAAGAAAGATACATGTATATAGTATATATGTATTGTAACCACAAACGATTGGTATTGAATCAATAACAACATTAAGACTAGCTGAGGATTCAAACCCATGTCGTTTTGGTCCACCTCATGGTGAGTGAAAATCACATGATGCTTTAACCCACAGGACCATGCAATCCAACAAGAATCAAGCACCCAGCAGAGCTAGGTGTTTTATCTTGATCTGAGGACATATGGTGGTGTGGGTGCCTCTCAGCTAATATTCTAATCCCTGTTTGGTGTACTAGCCTTCACGAGCAGTATATATACATAAAACCACGAACGAGTGGTATTGAATCAATAACAACACTGCAACTAGCCGAGGATTCGAACCCACGTTGTTTTGGCCCTTCTCATGGTGAGCGAAAATCATGTGACACTCTAACCCACAGGACCACATAATCCAACAAGAATCAAGCACCCAGCAGAGCTAGGTGTTTTACCTTGATCCGAAGACATATGGTGGTGTGGGTGCCTCTGAGCTAATTTCATTTTAATCCCCGTTTGGTGTACTAGCCTTCATGAGCAGTATATATATTATTTTAACCACAAATGAGTGGTATTGAATCAATAACAACATTACAACTAGCTGAGGATTCAAACCCATGTCGTTTTGGCCCGCCTCATGGTGAGCGAAAATCTCATGATGCTTTAACCCACAGGACCACGCAATCCTACAAGAACCAAGCACCCAGCAGAGCTAGGTGTTTTACCTTGATCTGAGGTCATATGGTGGTGTGGGTGCCTCTGAGCTTATTTCATTCTAATCCCCGTTTGATGTACTAGCATTCACGAGCAGTATATATATTATTGTAACCAAGAATGAGTGGTTACAATAATATATATATTATTGTAACCACTCATTCTTGGTTACAATACTGCTCATGAAGGCTAGTACACCAAACGGGGATTAGAATAAAATTAGCTCAGAGGCACCCACACCACATGTCCTTGGATCAAGGTATAACACCTAGCTCTGCTGGGTGCTTGATTCTTGTTGGATTGCGTGGTACTGTGGGTTAGAGCGTCATGTGATTTTTACTTACCATGAGGTAGGCCAAAATGACATGGGTTCAAATCCTCGGCTAGTTGCAGTGTTGTTATTGATTTAATACCACTCATTCGTGGTTACACTTATATAAAAATATGTACTGACCTATCTGAGCACATAAATTGCTATTTCTACACACATATACTGTCCTTTTTACACACATTGTTCTTTGTGCACATATGTTACCCTTTTTACATGTTTGGTGCCCTTCGTGCACATGTATGTTGTGCAGTAAATGTTGACTTGAAACTTGTGTACACATATGTTGTCATCTGTACAAACATGTTGTCTATTAGTAATTAATTTTGACAAACTTGTGCAAATGTATGATAGACAGCAGCCTTACTTGTGTTTGCCAATACTGAATTCCTCTTTAGATTTTTTCCATAATTCTCTGCAGGTATGCAATGGAGGAAGTCCTTGATAAATATGGAGTAGACTTGGCTATCTGGGCACACGAACACTCATATGAGCGGTTGTGGCCCATGTACAACTTTACTGTCATGAATGGCTCAGAATCAAAGCCCTACACTAATGCTAAGTATGATTGTCAGTTAAGTCTTATAAACATCATTCTAGGCAAAGTAAGGGGAAAAGTATTTCAGAAGGGTAGATTATATAATACCTAGTACTGTACTGAAATGTAATTAGTGTACAATTCTAATACATGTTTTTGGGTTCTGATGGTCCACTGAAAAAATCTGAGAAAGGTATACCTTGGAAAATTAGTGCAGGTTCAGTGCTTTCCCATAAGTACAATCATTCAACCCTTCGAGGGGATTGATTTGGTGCTATTGGATCTACTTTCCCCTTTCTCAGATGAAGCTTGATCATCTCCCATTTCCCAGGTGCTTTATGACCTTATTCATAACTTTATGATATATAATAATAATAATAATAATAATAATAATAATTATGGGCTTAGCATATCCCCATAAATTTAATAATTCTTCAAAACTTATTACTGCATCCCATTGCGTTAGAAACAGAAAAAGAGTATTGTGATGTTTAAGTTTTGCCAGTAATGTAAATTTTCTCAGGGCACCGGTACACTTCACAACAGGCTCTGCAGGCTGTGATGAAAACCACGACCATTTCATGCCAGAGCAGCCTTACTGGTCAGCCTTCCGTGCCATTGATTATGGCTACACCCGCCTCAGTGTCTACAACAACACACATCTCTACTGGGAGCAGGTCTCTGATGATCAGGTAGCTATATTTTTTCGGGAATTTTTAAGGTTGATATTGTCATAAAGTCAGTCTTGTGAGTTTGATATTTCAAGATTAATCTTTTGCAGTTCATATTAATTTTTTAAATGCAGTGCATTATAAACATGTAAGCACAATTTGCCATTGTACTGCACATTATATACTTTGAAGTTCTAAGTCTAGCCATATTAGATCCTTGGCAAAACATTACACAATGAAGTTTGATTCTTAGTATTGTGTATTGCTAGTCATTACTTTAGGATTAGCAGCTGGTCAGCATCTACAATATTATATGAAGGGCTGAGTGGGGAAGAAAAGGGATGGTGTGATGGTGAAGGGCTCTTGGGGGCTCCTGGCCCCATCATCTTGCTCCTGGGGGATTTCTACCTAAGGCACCTAAAATGGTGGAATATAGCAAATAATGTTGTAGCAGAGATAACACCAGGAGGCAGCTCAAATGAAAATTTGCACACACACAAGCTTTTAAATCTCTTCACCAAATTCACCTTAAATCAGCCTACAAGACTGGAGAATACACTGGATCTCATCTTCACTAATAACAATGATCTGATACAAAATGGCACCATATCAAAAACAATATACTCAGATCACAACATAATAGAGGTTCAGACATGTATGCGCAGGGCCCCAGACCGACAAAACGTGATCAGTCACGAGGGAGCCTTCACCAAATTCAACTTAAATAACAAAAACCAAAAGTCCTAAATGATATAAACTGGGAAGATAGCCTAAGCAACATGGATCCCAACCTATGTCTAGAACAAATTAACTCAGTGGCACTCAAGGTATGCTCAAGGCATATTCCTTTAAGGAAAAGGAGGAGAAGATGTAAACTAGTAAGAGAAAGGCGCTCCCTGTACAGTCGAAGGCAAAAAATAACTGAGCGGCTAAAAGAGGCAATATATCTGCAATACGTATTGAGACACTGGTCAGAGAAATAGCAAACATCGAACTAAAGCTAAAGGAATCTTACATTAGTCAAAAAATGTGGGAAGAACTAAAAGCCATAAATGAAACTGAAAGAAACCCAAAGTATTTCTTTTCTTATGCCAAACCAAAGTCGAGAACAACATCCTGTATTGGGCCCCTACTTAAACAAGATTGGTTCTACACAGATGACAGCAGGGAAATGAATGAGCTACTCAAGTCCCAATATGACTCGGTTTTTAGCGAGCCAGTAACTAGACTGAGAGTCAAAGACCTAAATGAATTTTTTATGAGACACAGAATTTGGTAGACACAAACCTGTCTGAATTCCTGACACCAAATGACTTCGAAAAGGCAATAAATGACATGCCCATGCACTCTGCCCCAGGCCCAAACTCATGGAACTTTGCGCTCATCAAGAACTGCAAGCAGCCCCTATAATGTGCTTTTAACATCCTATGGAGAGGAAGCATGGACACAGGGGTCATCCCACAGCTGCTAAAAGCAACAGACATAGCCCCACTCCACAGACCAATAGTGCTAACGTCCCATATTATAAAAATCTTTGAACAGGTTCTAAGAAGCAATATCGACACCCATCTAGATACCCATCAGTTGCACAACCCAGGACAGCATGGGTTTAGAGCAGGTCGCTCCTGTCTGTTCCAACTACTGGACCACTATGACAAGGTCCTGGATGCTCTAGAAGACAAAAGAATGCAGATGAATTACCAGACTTGCAAAAAAACTTCAAACAAGTGTGCCATGGTAAAATAGCTCACAAATGAGTGATAAAGGAAACATTACGGAAAAAGTTGGTAGTGGATCTATAATTTCTCCAAACAGAACACAAAGGTAGTAGTCAAAGAGTAAAGTTCACGCTCGGTGAAAGCTTTGTTCCGAAGGCACAGTACTCGCTCCCATTTTGTTTTCTCCTCATTCTGACATAGGGGATTTAAGCCATAGTGCCTGTCTTCTTTTGCAGTGACACCTGTTTGCTGACATGTCCTCCATTAAAGAACCGCAAGAATTTTATGGGAAATAATTATAGTTTTACATACGGGGACCAGGGCATTAAAAAACGTGGTTCCACTGACTCCGATGTGGAAAATGTGGGGAAAATTTAAAAAATACATCGAAGTACATTAAAACCCCTTTCCAAAACAACAAAAATTGAGCAAAAAACTAATGTAAAAGACCGGGGAGTGATCTGTCAGAGGATCTCACTTCAAAGACCATAACATTGTATCAGTGATCTGCTAGAAAAATGAAAATGGAACCTTCAAAACTGGGATGATGAACTATTCAGGTCGTTGTTCTATTTAGGCTGGAATATTGCTGCCACTAACAGCACCTTTAAAGGGAGGTGAAATTGTTGACCTGAAATTAAAGAAAACCTTCTGGCACGTATAATGTTTTTAAACCCCCTCATTTATGAAAAAATTTAAAATTTCCCAAAACCCTTACTCCCTAAAAGAAAAAGGAGAGATACATGATTATTAACATAAAAAAATCCTAGAGGTTGTATAAACTTGCCATGAAAATCACTCCCTATGAGGGGAAAAAAGATTGAGATGAACAAGTCCCCCCAATAAAAAGAAGCGTGCCATGTACAATAAGAGCAACACAATAAGTGTCAGGGGCCCAGCATCATAAGGGGGATTACCAAAAACCCCCTGGGTGTTTCAAGCAGGACTGGCGGCACCTAAAGTCAGTACCTGCCCAGCCAAGCTGTGGCTTGAGGTCGGGTTGTGTGGGGCCCAAAACGTAACAGCCTGGTTGATCAGGTTTCATTATCTGGGGGCGGGTCAAGATGAGCCACGGGGGCATTGACCCCGGGGGGAAACCCTCTCTAGGTTACCTCAGTTTTGATAAAACCTGATTCCCCCTTTTCTCTAGAATTGTAACCCAAGGGGTTCAGAAATTTCCAGAATAAATAATTATACTGTAATATCCCCGTATACTTAGTACCCCAGTCTACTTTTTTTGGGTCCCCTGCTTGATGGTAAATAGCTGCTTGTTTTTAATTAAACGGGGTACATTAATGAATTCCTGGTAGTAGGTTGGTAAAAGGGCAACCGCCCAGGGAGGTTCTCCGTCCGCCAAGTGAGTGAAAAACAAAAGCCTGAAATTTTTTTTTACATGATGGTAGGATTGCTGGTGCCCTTTTTTCTGTCTCTGAACATGCAGATTTCAGGTCTCTTGTATTTTACTTAACTTAGGTCACCTCCCAATACTGTAAAAGATTATTACACACCCCTCTGGGTTTTCTTCTATTTTCTTTTGTTCTTATTCTTGTTTATTTCCTTTATTCCAGGGGGAAGGGAACAGAATTTTTCCCCCGTAAGCCATGCGTGTTGTAAGAGGTGACAAAAAAGGGCCGGGAGAAGGGGCTAGTAACCTCTTCTTGTATCATTACTTTTGTAAAAGGAGAAACTCTCTTTTTTCCCTTTTGGGGCCACCCCCTTGGTGGGGGGCCGGTGTTTTAAAAGAAAGATTAATGTATTCTTTGTTTTTCCAAAAGGGGTCTTGTTTGTGTGTGGTTGGTAAGGAAGAAAGTGTCATACAAAAAAGATTCGAAATGGGAATTTTAAGACATCTTCACTGTTGCCTCTTAGCAGAAAAAAGTATTTCCTTCTTCTATGAGCCCCCACTACGTGGCCATATTGGGAAAAGATGCTTAGATTTGCGAGGAAACCCTCCATTTAGCTAATGAGTTTTTCAGTTTTATTTTTTAAAGTAAAAATCTGTGTGTGATAGAAAATGTAGAAAAAGTTTAAACCCGTTTTGGAGAGAACACTAAACACTTGACCTCTAAAAACTTTTACATCTTTTACGTTGCTTTTATTATTATATTCATGGGGTGTGCTTTTGTCTGAAAATTGAAAAAACCCGATTTGAAAGAATAAGAAAGTACATATGGTTTACAGCAGATTTGGGGTCAAGTAGAAAATTCCAAGTGTCACTGTGCTGAGACCCTTTGGGGAGCCTAAAAATAAGCTGAAAAAATATACAAGAGAAAGGTTGGGTTGAGAAAACGCCCGTGTGGGTTTTACAACGATATATCAAGATAGCAAAAGACAATACATTAGGTTTACATATTAGAATTACCATTTACTGCTTATTTTTATTATTTTTTCATACTATACGTAGGCCCCTAACTTAAGTGAAATTGGTTTTGGATATTGCCCTAACTCAAGTGTTTGGGAAATTTTGGGAATATTTTTCCATAACTCAGAAAAACCTTAGTTTCTGAGCCATATTTTATATTACTTTCTATATGTTACATAAAATTAATTTAAAAAATTACATGTTTTTTATTCAGTGGTTCCCCTCTTCCCATTCCTTTCCCCTCCCAAATTTTTTGCTGCCTCCCCTTTTCCATCCATTCCATTTCTTTCATTTCATCTGATACAACATTATAGTCCCACTACCCCCCGACGAGGGACTGAGTTGTGGGTGTGGGAGGAATGTTTTGAGAAAAGTGTAGATTGGAAGCAAAAAATGCTGCCCCTACTTTCTATTGGGTTTATTCCCGTGCTAGGAAATATTTGTGAAGCACTGAAAGGAAGCTTTTAAAAAAATATACAGAATATTATCTAATTAATAAAATAAATATTTAAATTTATCAGTGGAAAATCTCTTTCGGTTTAATCCTTCCATGACCTTGCTCATCATTTGCGAGTCAAATTTTCTCATTTAAATTTTTTGAATGGAGTTAATTTGTTCCAGTGGAAATTTCCCGGCCGAGAAAATTCTTTTAATTTAAATTTCCTAATATCAACTCTACAGTTTTTATCTATCCAATTCATGTAATATGAATAATAAACAATATTAATAACTAGAAACTGAATTTTACCCTAGAATGAAAAAAATACATGTCATTAGGTATCTGGGTAGGGGGGGTGACAGCGCTATTTTTGGGGATTTATAGGGGCCCCCACAGCGGACATTCCTGCTCCTGATACATGTGAGAGAACTAGGTAATCAAAAAGTCAGATGACTTATAAAAAGTCCTCTTAAGCTTCACTTAAAATTTCTACTCATAAGCTACATTTAAATTTTAACTTTTAAGCTACACTTTGCCCTGCTGCTTTTTTTGTTGTCTGCCA